TTGTAATGATAATTTCACGTTTTAGATATACATCAGAACTCTTCAGTATATAGTTTGTTATATATATAGTATAGTTTATTGAGTGTATATTAGGAAAGAAAAATAAGTCATGTCTTTTCAGTCCAATGCTGGTAACCCTCCAAAGGTTCCCGTTTCTTTCAGACTAAATGTCCACATCTATATTGGATTGCCAGGGCCGTACATCATTCACTCCAGTTTTACTTTTTTGACATACCTCCTTTGATGCTCCTTCTGCACACCAAACTGACTTCCCTCCTGTTAGGTGTGTTTCCACCTCCATCCAGATTGTCCCACTATTCCCTCTTCCTGGAGTGCTTTTTCCCATGTACCCTCAGAGTTGGCTCATGCTGCCTTCTTTGACCTACACATTTGACCTTCTCTGATTCTTCTCTTCTTTTATCTATATATATAATATTTATCACCTTCTTACCTATGCAATTAACTTATTTACTGTCTTTATCATTTATTCTGTTTTCATCACTAGAATTGAGGTTTACCAGGGTAGGTTTTTAAGTTTATTGATATTTATACCTGACATGAAATAGGCACTCAAAAAATACTTGTTGAATTAATGCTTATTATTTTGTTTTTCCCACTACTGTTTTTGAAGTTTAACATTGTTTTTTGTTTTCATATAGGATTTTTAACTTTCATACTTATTTTAACCAAAATCTAAAATTAGTTGATAGTGAATCCTTTCCTTACATGATACAAGAACTTAGGACACTTTAACTCCTTTTACCATCTTTTTAACCTCCTCCAAACTCGTGATATTATTGTTATGTTTTAATATTTATTTTATTTTAACCTGGCAATTTATTAGTACTGCTTTATACAATCAATATTCATGTAGATTGAACCATGTATAACTTCTTAGGCTCTTCATTCCTTCTTTCCACCTGGGATCACTTACCTTCTTTTTGAAGAACATCTTTTAGTATTCACTTAGGGAAGTTTGTGGTAACATATTTGAAATTGGTATTTGTCAAAAACAGTCTTTATTGTCAGTTTTAAAAGACATTTTTGTTTAACATGGAGTTCCAGGTTAACAGGTATTTTTCTTTCAACATATTAAAGAAATCATTCCACAATATTCTGGTTTTCATTGTTGCACTTAGAAAGTCAGCTGTCAACATGACTACTGACTGCTCTTTTCTCTCTGGCTGTTCTGTAGATATTGTCTTCATCTTTGATGTTTTGTAGTTTCAGTATGATTTGTTCTGAATGGAGCTCATTGAGCTTCTTGATTTGATGGGTTATTTTCTTTTTTTTTTTTGGTTCTAGAAATTATCTTTTCATATATTTATCCTTCCCACTAGTTATTTTTTTACCTTCTGGAACTTTGTTTAGACCTGTTATACCCTCTTACTCTATTTTGAGTGTCTCAAACTGTTATATTTTTTATATCTTTATCTCTGTCAGCAGCATTCTGAGTAATTTCTTAAGGCGTAACTTTTATTTCATTAACAGTCTGTTTACCTTTGTGTAATCTGTTGTTAAACTTTTTCGGTAATTTTAGATTTCAATAATTGTTTTATATTTCTAGAAATTTTATTTGGTCCTTGTTTTAACAGTGTCTACACTTTTAAAACATATTTTTCAGCATCTTTTATTTCTTCAAATATACTGTTTAAATTTTCATCTGATAGCTCCAGTGTCTGAAATCTTTGCAGTTGTCTTTCTGCAGTAAGAAACTTCTTTTCTTTTTTTTTAATGAGTTGCTTTTTTTACTTGGAGAGTTCTTTGAGGCTTAGCATCAAGATGGTATGTTCCTCCAGAGAGAATTTGTTTGTCTGCAACATTAAAAGCTCTGTGTTTGGGGCATTTCTATCTAAATCTACAGCTTCATTAATTTTCCTCTGGACTCCTAAGAAATATGAATTTGGGCTGCAAATTTGCATGAGAGCTTGCTTTTGGTTAGAACTTTTCAGGAAGATTTTTATTTCTTCTCTGCTAGCCGTGTAGGTAACTTTCCTTGCAGTCTTCTGAGTAGGTAAATGGGGTGGGTTATTTTACGCTTATATTCTGTATTAATGTTGTGAAACTCTCCTATTAACTTCTTCCTTGGGTTAATCCTGGAATTTGCATCTGTGTACAACCCCATGGGACTGACAAAATCACAGCTCAGCTTCACAGTTAATTTTTTGGCCTGGTTATTTCTTATTATCTTGTCAGCTGTTAGATTTTTTTAAAGATCTTTTTATACTCTTTCATTAGGCATTTTGTGCAATAACATTGGTGTATATTATTTAGTCTGCTACTATACCCACATTTCAAAAAAACATAATTGTGCTATTTTTTATAGTACACATTCTTTATAATATTTTAAATGGTTCTGTATTTTGTCTAGTAACTCAATATAATTTATTTGGTCGCTCTCCAATTTGGACATTATGCTTGTTTCTTTTGAGTTTTGCTATGATAAATAACACTGATAAACTGATTTCATAGATAAAAATGTTATCTATTAATTTGCATTGTCCTAATTGGTATTGTGCTGGTACATTTTCCAAATGTAAAAAATCTATTCTTAGTCATTCAGATCTTAAACCTTTTTCTTAAAGGTTTGTGTAATCTTTTTTCATAAAGATACTAACCCATCATCTAACAGGTTACTTTAGCATTTTAGCAAAGTAACCTTATTTGCGTAGCATAGATTTATGGAAGCTTTATAAATGATTCTTTTGTCAAATTTTAACAAATGTTCTTGTTAATCATCATATTCTATTTGGAAACAATTATTTAAATTTGGGTCTGGTAATTGCTTGCCAGTTCTTGTATTTATCACTATTTCATGTACTGTGATAATTATCTCAGAATGTTTCCCTATTTCCATAAAACCTTCTGCTCATCTGCCTCACCCCTCCCCATAGCCATCTGTATTAGTCTCTTCGTTGTGTTTAAAAAGTACCTTCTTTGCCCTCTCCCCAAATCTCAGTGGTTTCCAGCAATTAACATTTATTTCTCTCACAGCACTGAAAATTAGGCAGTTGTGAATCTGCTTTTGCCCTTAATTCATATGTCTTTGGCCAAGGCGGAAGAGGTCACTCCATTTGAGACATGGCATTCTTACGGCAAAAAGTAAAAAATAAGAGAGCTGCTGTAAACCGATAATGCCTCTCAAAGCTTCTGTATAGAGGTGGCATGTCTGTCTGTGTATTCCTGTGACATGATCAAATACAGTGAGAGTTGCATAGAAATGTATGTTCCTCCCATAGGAAGCACTACAAGTCAAATGACTGGCCAGAGATATATGGAAAGTGCAAGCGAATACTTGTCAACAATAATACCATCAACCACATCTCTTCCTATGATTAGCTTCTTAGTGTAAATTTTTTATAATTACTCATTTCCATATTGAAGATTTGTTATTGTCTTCCCTTATGCCTTAAATATAGCTATTTCTGTTGTAAAGATGAATCACTTTACCTGTATTCTCCAGTCTACTTGAATGTAAGTTTAGCAAAGACAGATTCTTGTCTGCTTTGTTCAGTGCTTCCTCAGCACTAGAAGAATGCTTGGCTCGTAATATGCTTTCAGTAAATATTTGTTTCCCTTATTTCATCAGTTATTCTGTCAGTTATTCTTTTGTATCCTGAGTTCTTTTGCTAGCTCTTCCTTGAAGTCTCTTAATGACTATGCTTACTTGAATTATTTAAATAAATCACAGCTATATATTTAACAAGTTCTGTTAAATAGTTTTCTCTAATGAAGAGAATAATGAGCTTTTCACTCCTCTGGAAAATACAGCCTACATACTTCTTCCTATAAATATGCTCATCACACTACCACTAAAAACAAAACAAAATCCCTTTATCCCTTTGACTCTTACAATCCTACTTCTCACTATTGCTCTAAAACTATTCTTTACCTTCTACATTTCTCGTTCTCTTTGACCTCCATTAAACCCCTTCCACCAAAAAACTCTGTTCCTCTAGCTCCCGAAGGACTATAATTTACTCTTATTTCTGTTTCTAAGGCTATTCTCTTTTCACTTTTCCTTAGAATGTTCTTCTTCCTTCCTCTACCACTTAAGTGTACTAATACACCCAGGCTCTATTTTTCACGCTCCTCATGTCTTGTCTTGTCCCTTTTTTAGTGAAGTCTCATTCATATGGCTTTTGTGTAGAAATAAATATAAATATAAGTCTGTGTCTTATAATAGTTATTCTGAGTTTGCCCCTTTGTAGGCATTTCCATTTGAATGTTGTTTTACCGTTAACTCCACCTTGATGTGTCCAAAACCAAATTGTTTTCCCGCTCATACTGACTCCTCCATTGGAACTAACTCCAGGTTTTGTCGATGGTGCGGTCACCAGGCTTCTAAAAGGAAAAGAAAGAATGCCAGCATTTGTTCAGCAACTAGTACACACTAAACACTGTGCTTTTTAATTACACATTGTCTAGCTCAAGGTTTACCTCCTGAGAAACAGTCTCCAAATAATCACCATGAATCTTCTGTGATCCCTTCTTCTTAGACCACATGCAGTAACATTTGTATTTAAACCACTAGATCCTCAGCATACGAATCTCCTGTAATTCATACTTTTAGTTTGTGAACCTCTCTGTGGCAAGGATTTTAATTTATTTCCTTTTTATCAGCACTGTACCCCATAAGTACATTTGTACATAGGTACAGTACAATTTAATAAGTATTTGATGATTTTCACATAGAAACGATGCTCTAAATAAGGGCAAGAATCGTGACCCAAAGAACAAAACTAAATAACTCAAAACTAAATAACAGTTAAACTGTATTCTTGAACCTTGAACCCAATTGAAAGGGGTTCATTTCCTCTGGAAATGCCAAGAGGCCCTTATATATTAAGGATCACCTTAATATGTAAGGTGAACAGATTTGTATTTCATAACAGAATCTCTTTATCAATATTACACCCTCATATAGCCATTTTATTTGCTTTGAATACCACATTTATAGAAGGTAGTATATTTATTTTAGCTTCTCTTTCCCCCATTAGGTGCACCAGGTATAATTTCCTCACCATATGCAGGGGCTGCTGGATTTGCCCCAGGCATTGGATTTCAAGCTACAGGTGACTCTTTTAAAGTTGAATTTGAAATGATTTTTATGATGTTCTGTATTTTCTAGGAACTTACCAAGATGAAAAATATTACCATATGGGAGGGATTTACAATAAAAGTTTTACGTGTGTCAGCCGTAAAAGTGGCTGATTGTATGATACACAGCTTCCTTGTATTTACAAATAATTCTATAAAATCTGTACCTGATGGTAATCACATTTATATAGCACTTTACAAAGTTACGAAATGCTTTTCCCATACAGAATATCATACATTCTGCATGTATACAATTCACCTGTTTTAGGTATACAACTCAGTGATTTTTAGTGAATTTACAGAGTTGTGCAGCCATTTACCACAGTCCAGTTTTAGAACATGCACGACCACCTCACGTGTATATTTGTGACTTCTGCTCAAGGACTTTTTAAAAATATATATCTGATTTTATGGTAGAAGTCAATATGAAAATTACATCTACTTTGTAGAAATGTGCTGCAGTATGTCTGTTTCAAGAAACAAGGGCGTGCTTGTAGTTGATAGACCCTCTGAGAAGCCTAATGGCTTTTAAGACCAGTGAATTCAGTTGCTCTGCAAAGTACTATATAAATAATAGAATACTGAGTATGATGTCAAAGAATAAGGAACTTGACTTCCAGATAGACTCTGTAGGGCAGAAGAATAGGCCTTTGATAACCTTATGGTAGTTTCGACACAGTTTCTTCTATAGTTTTGCTCTTTTCATCATTTATTTACTTAACATTATATCAAGTGTTGTAATTCTCCAGATAACTAGAATATGAAATGCTTTTGATATTTTTAAAAGGTTTATCAGTCCCAGGTGTTCCTGGAGCTCTCGGTCCTCTCGCAATCACCTCCTCTGCTGTCACTGGAAGGATGGCCATTCCTGGGGCTAGTGGTATACCGGGAAATTCTGTCCTGCTTGTCACCAATCTCAATCCTGATGTGAGTTGAAAAGTATTAGAAATAATCTTTCAGGAAGAGGTCTATAGTGGCTTCTGTTCTAGTGTTGTATTTAAATAATAACATTCAAGTTCATTGTAAGGATTTTTATTAAAATACATCACTAGTATATATAGAGGAGCATATAAAATAAATACTTTAAACAAAGTCAACAGTCATTATTACAAGTAAATTTATTTAAAATTTTTACTTAATCAGACACTTACACTTTGTGTTATTCTTTTCAGTTTATCACACCACATGGGCTTTTTATCCTATTTGGTAAGTTCTTTTTTGCTGTTTTTAATATTATCTGTGATGTGGATTGAACACATTTCATCATTCAGTAATATTTATTGACTATCTTTATGTGCCACATAGTGTGTTTGACACCGAGGATAGAATAGCAAAGTAATTAGAATAAAGTTTTATAAAAAGGGAAATAGTTATTGTGATGGGAGTATATAGGTGGGAGAACTAACCTCGCTGAGAGAATCACTGATGTACCAAGAGAAATGATAGTTGGCTAATGAAAAATGAGTAACGGTTAGTCATGCAGAAAAGGGAGAGCAAATGTCCTTTCACAGGTACTAGCAGTGAGAAAGAGCGAACTTCTGAAACATGGAAGTGAAGCAGTCCAGTGGAGAGTGTAAGGGAGAGACCTGTTGAAGCTGAACAGATGGATAGGGACAATGCCGTGAAGAGCTTCGTAAGCTAGGAACAGTGGGAAACCATTGAATAGTTTTAAGCAGTAGAGAGGCAAAATGAGATCCAGGTTTTATACATAAATCTCCAAATTTTCTAAAAGTGTTCCTCTCTCAGTTAAAAAAAAAAAAAATTCAGCTTATACTCCTAATTTATATATGATTAATTTTTCATAAACATCCATTTTTTACTATATTCATTATAGTGTGATATGTACAAACAAATATATGGGCAATGAAATAAGCAATATTTAATACTCTAAAGATTTTTATTAATGATGAAACTTTATAAAAACTATTAACATTGAATGAGAAATATGATTTCATATGCATCATTATTTTGAGAAATCTTTTTTATTTGGATTCAGTATTCCAAGGTCTGATTCTAAATTCACTTTAATACTTGATCTTAATGGTTGTCATAACTGAAAAAGATACCTCATAAACATGTGTGTAACTTAAATGGAAGTGTTTCATTCTTGCTGTACCTAATTAATTATGATACTGATTTTTCAGTCTAATTCGCTAATTTTTGTTGTACTTTACTTAGAAAAGTTCTATTTTTCCTCTTGTTAAATTAGTTGATCTTGACAATTGCTGCATTAGAATATTTTTAACAAATGGGGTTAAAACTCACTTGGATTTGAAAGAATTTTTAGTACGATAGAAAATTGTTTCAGATTTTTTGAATGGGTAATAGGTTTTTTAAACAATATTTTTGAGGTATAATTTATAGCCACACGATTTGCCTGCTTGAAGTGCACAACTCCAAGATGGTTAGTAAATTTATGGAGTTGTGCAACCATTATTACCCAAGTCCAATTTTAGAACATTTCCATTACCCCACAGAGATCCTTCATGCTCATTTGCAATAACCATAAAAGTTTTTATTCATAACACATTTCTGTAATTTTTGGTAACAAAATCATGTATTAAAGATACATTTTCATATGTCTCTTTCATAGCCAAAGCACATGTCTTTCTAAAAGTAGTTAATTTCTCATTCATTTAAAAAAATACCACTGTCAGCTTGAAGAACAAATTATGTTATTTTTAAAATAATATCTATTTCAGCCACTTGTCATTGCTGAAAAGGACAGCAAATTTGGAATATTTGTCTTTTTGTTTTAAATTCTGTAAGTTCCATTCATCTCTGAGTTCAGTTGCTCTTCAATGCTTGCCCACAAGATAACCAGCACTGCTTTGTGTGCCTTGAAGCTTTTCATAGTCAATCTCTCACTGCATTACAAAATATGGTAATGATGCTACTAATTATTATAAGGGTCTATTTTTGTAATGTTGGTGATACTCTGTAGCACATAAGCAGCAATATATTTTAATATACTGGATGAATAAAATCAGAGAATACTCTTCATATTATAGAAATTTCTGCCTATAATTTTATCTATTTAATATGTATTAAAATTAGTAAAATGTAAAAAATAAATAAAATAAAATAAAAATTAGGAAAATGTAGTTTTTCATATTGGTTTTCTATAAACAAATCAGGGTAAAGAAGAGTCTGATTCTTTTTCTCCCACACCAATTAATCATTTTTCCTCTCCTATGGGATGTATTACCCACTGTGAGGAACACTAATTTAGAAAAATTGGATGTAATGAGCTCAATTAGGAGTCTGTTACGATAGTCCAGACGTTAAGCGGTGATGATAGCTTTGATAGTAATGACGATGGGAAGAAGTGGACAAATGTGAGAGATACTCAGGCCATAGAATCAGTTGATAGCAGTGATTGACTGGATGTACGAGTTTAAGGAAAGGAAGTCCAAACATGAATCCAGGTTTCTGGAGCAGGTATGATGGTAACGTTTATCAACAGAGTTTGTGGACACTGGGAGCGGGAAGGGGAAAGAGAGATCTGGAACATAGGAGACATACGTGTTTGGGAGCATATGTACGAAATGCCCAGGGAATATAGACAATATGAGAAAAGAAGCCTTTAATTGTGTTAGTAAAATTAATTAAATATTACATAGTTGGGCATTAAAAATTGTTTCGTTTTGTCTTTTTAATTAGGAGTATATGGTGATGTGCATCGAGTGAAGATTATGTTTAATAAGAAAGAAAATGCCTTGGTTCAGATGGCCGATGCAAATCAAGCTCAGCTAGGTACTAATGATTAATAATAATAATGATAACCTCTCCCTTTTATATATGAATTTTCCTATAAAATAAACTTATAGCTAGTAGGAATATACTTTTACTGAAGAGTACCTCTATATGCTAATGTCTTCATTATTATTTGGACCTGCTTATATTTGAAGATTAAAAATATTTATTACACTTTGAAGGCTGAAGTTCATTATTTATCTGCTTGAACATATTGTTGATATTCACAGCTTTGACTAGGGTTTTTCTGTTAAGTTTAGACTAATAAACAGCACTTACTCTGTTTTATTTTGTTTGTTTTCCTTCCAAATTAAGTTTTCTAGAACTGTTACATGGCATAAAAGTTTCGGCAAACTTTATAACAATGGTACAAAGTGTCATTCCATGGCCTCACTGTTCATTGTTATAGTGGCTATGAAAATATTACTACTCAGATACTTTAGAAAATATACTTTGCCTGAGATTAAACTAATTTATTCAATAACCACCCTCTGAGCACTTATGTTCCAGGCACTCTGGAACTTCCTGGCAGTATGCTAGGAAATAGTTACTTTTCGTTTGATTACTTTTCTTTCATTACAGTAAAATAAATCATTTAATACATTTCCATATATAAGAGCTTTTTAATTTAAAACTACTTTGACCCTCAAACTGACAATATAATTTTAAATGACTAAGTAAAAAGAATTTATGATAAATTCTAGACAAATTTAGACAAATTTTACAGAAACTCTGTCTTAATACCCAAACTTTCCTTGTTTACTTCCTGTGCACCAGCAATGAACCATCTGAGCGGTCAGAGACTTTATGGGAAAGTGCTTCGTGCTACACTGTCCAAACATCAAACAGTTCAGCTTCCTCGAGAGGGACAAGAAGACCAAGGCCTGACTAAGGATTTTAGCAATAGTCCTTTGCATCGCTTTAAAAAGCCTGGCTCTAAAAACTTCCAGAATATTTTTCCACCGTCAGCCACTCTGCATCTTTCCAACATCCCGTATGTACCTAATTAGTTATTATTCATTTAGATGATTAATAATCTACAGTATATGTTTTAGGAGAGCTAACAACTCTGAAATTATTCTAAAGCAGTTGTCTTATTGACTAATTTTTTATGAGATGATTCATTTGCCATTATGCCTCAAGAAGGTTATATCTCCAGTCATACACTGCAGAAGTAAAGATAGCAGTGTTTTAAAAAAATGTTTTCCAAATAGAGAATTAGCAGCTAGTTAACCTTTCAGTTATAAAAGAGCATAAAAATAAGTTTATGGAGAAATATTCCATTGGCACATACTCGTTCATCCCTTTGTATACAAGTAAAGACTTAAGTAACCAACATAGCAAAATCAAATAATTTATTTAAGAATTTAGTAAAAAGGAATTTTTATAAGTTTCAAAGCCCTATATAAGTTAATTACTTAATAGCTAAAAATGATTTTTTTGTGTGTGACCACTCTGTATTATCCAGTGTTGTAACAGACTTGTTCTTTAGTCATCTTCAAACTCCGGTGTCAACAGACTGCAGCCCATGAGCCAGAACCATTTGTTTTTGTATGGCCCATGAGCTAAGATTGATTTTTATATTTTCAGATAGTTGGGGGGAAAGCCAAAGAAAAATATTTTGTGGTTTGAAAAAATTATACAAAATTCAAATTTCACCACCCATAAATAAAGTTTCATGGAGTATAACTATGTATTATCTGCCTTTGAGCTACAGCAGCAAAGCAGAAGAGTTGCAGCAGAAACTGTGTGGTCCTCAAACCTAAAATATTTACCGTGTGGATCTTTATAGAAAACATCTGGCAACCCCTGTTCTAATTCTTGAAATCCTTGACCTACAGAGATGCAATTTTGTATAACTTAACCTAATACATGAAGGGGCATAAGCTTAGGGAAGGGAGAGGTAAAAGCTGTGGGGTATGGCTGTGTATGTGCACATGTGTATGGAGCTTTAAAGACTGAGGGGATGGAGAATGGTAGTTCTGGAACATTATTGCGATTGAGAATAGGAGATGAACAGGTATAGAAAATAATTACTCAAAATAGTGTTGAATACTCAGGGTCCTAGCTAGTCTCCAGTTAGGCTACATGGAGAAACCCTGAATCTGAATTGGGCAGTTTCTCAAACCTCATGCCAGCCAGGAAACTAGAAGAGCCACTTTAAAAAAAATCTAGATTATGTGGATCTAGAAATTTAGCAGCTCATCACTATGGAGCCAGGTAGAGGGGCAACATATTTAGATAACTGAGGCAGGCTCCTGTCATCGTTACCTTCTTAAATACAATACGTTGTCCAGAAGCTGGTCTCAAGTTGCAGCATGCATAGGCCATGCAGGTAGAAGAGGGCATTAATATTTTTTTGAACCATCTACCAAGTTCTGGGCACTGTGGTGGTGGTTTACATGTGTTACCTCATTTAATCTCCCTATTAAACTTTTTTTTAATTGTGATAAAATATACACAACATAAAATTTATCATCGTAGCCATTTTTGAGCATGCAGTTGAGTGTACATGCACATTAAGTACATGCATACTATGCAGCCATCACTTTCATCTATCTGTAGATCTTTGTCATCATCCCAAACCAGGACTCTGTACCCATTAAACAATAACCCCATTTCCCTTCAACCCCGAGTTCCTGGTAACCACTACAGTAGTCCCCCTGCACCCCCCTTATTCACCGGGGATATGTTTTAAGCCCCCCAGTGCATGCCTGAAACCACAGATAGTACCAGACTCTTATGTATGTTTTTCCTGTGCATACATAATACCTTGATAAAGTTTAATTTATAAATTGGCACAGTAATGGATTAACAGCAATAACAATAAAATAGTATAACAATATACTGTAATAAAAGTTATGTGAATGTGCTCTCTCCTATTAAGTCAGGAATTTTTACCTTTTCACTTAAAAGAAGCACTTTATGGCTTGTCTTTGGCATTTCCAAATTGCCTGTGTCACTACTCTTGTACTTTGGGGCCATTATTAAGTAAAATAAGGGTGACTTGAACACAAGCACTGGAATACCACAATAGTCGATCTGAACACTGAGAAAGGTTACTAATGGCTAACAGGCTAGTAATGTATACAGTGTGGATACGCTGGACAAAGGGGTGATTCATGTCCCAGGCGCAATGGAGCAGGATGGCAGGAAATTTTATCACACTACTCAGAATGGCATTTAATTTAAAACTTATGAATTGTTTATTTCTGAAATTTTCCATTAAATATTTTCAAACCACCCATAGCTGAAACCTCAGAAAGCGCAACTGCAGATAAGGGGGGGACTACTGTATTCTGCTTTTTGTCTCTGTCAGTTTATTCATAATAACCTTTGAAGGAAGGTCATGAGTTTCATTTTATCATTGAAACTGAGACACTCAGGTTAAGTAACGTACTCAAAGTGACATACCAAATGAATGAGAAATAGAATGAATGCAGATCTGTCTCCCTGCAGAGCCAATTATTGTTCTGCTGTACCGTCCTTGCTGGCAGTTGTGAGATGAGGAAGAGTCTCTGTGAGTTGACTCTCGTGTAGCAGACCACTGTATTATCTACCGCTGCATAACAGGCAGGCTCCTGTCATCGTTACCTTCATTACCTAGATTTTCTTGCTCTTTGTATCTGCCCACATCTTTTGCAAAAGATTTGAGATAAAATTCCCGTTTGAGGACATGTGTGTGTCAGCCTCGAACCTCTTCCAGGGCAGTTCTAAATCATGTCTTCATACATGGTTTTGTTTTCTTTGAAATGTCAGATACTCTAGCGATTTGATGATTGCAAGGTAATCTTTGCTTCATTAGGGCTAAGATAGTTGGTTGACTCTCTCCGTGATGTTTTCACAGCCCTTCTGTTACGATGGATGATCTGAAGAATCTTTTCACAGAAGCTGGATGTTCAGTGAAGGCTTTTAAATTCTTTCAGTAAGTCCATGCTTTGAAGAAATACATTAGCTTTATTTAATGTATGCAAATTTTAAGGTAGTTCAATGACGTCTTCTAGGGTTGGGGAGGAGGTTTATAGGCAAAATTAATTCTCTACACTTTTTATATTTCTTATACCATTTTCAGGAAAGATCGCAAAATGGCCCTTATCCAGTTGGGGTCTGTGGAGGAAGCAGTCCAAGCCCTCATTGAGCTTCATAACCATGACCTTGGAGAGAACCACCACCTCAGGGTTTCCTTCTCAAAATCTACAATCTGAGTTGTTTGTGAATTTTTCTGCTAAGACTGGACCATAATTTCAGTAAAATGTTCAGACATAGACTGAAGCAGCTCAAGACCAATTCTGCCTCTTACAAAAATAATTCTTTCTGAGTTTGATATTCAAGTATATTCAAAAAATTAAGGGATGTTCTCTCTCCCACCCCCCACCAATATGTGATCAAAGATTTATTTTTCGTTTTTACCACAGTTTCTATGAAAATAATCTTCAGGAAAAAAAAAATCAGGAAAAATTTTTCAATAATTTAATTCGCCATATTAAATTGGATTTCAAGAGGACAGACTCTTTTAGTTTGGGTACAGATCAGCCTTATACATTTCTAAACTCCTTTGTACTTTAAAAAATTTAAACATACAAACTTTTAAAAATATTTGATGTAAGTAATTTAAATTCCTTACAACCAAGTTTTTAACTTTATGATTCGAAAGTTCGACCCCCCCCCGTAGGAAATTATGTTCACTTATAAATTATATCAATTATTTGGCATATATTGATAGCTATTATACATAAACAAATTGGGTTATATTTGAAGCAGATTTATAAACCTGCATGTTTTCTTTCAATGGTTTCTTTTTTTTTCGCTGTAAGACACTCCTTTGAATATTGCATATCTTTAACTTTTTAAGACTATTTGGAGAAATGAAGTGTCTCAACTGACCCCAAGGAAATTAAGTGGAATACAGCCAGGATGTATTAAGGTGTCAGAATAATTAATAATTTTATTAGGAAAAAATCATGTTTTAAATTTGAAAATGACACTTATTTGTTCAGTAAGATAATCTTGGAAAATTAAAAAAATAATTGTACTTATAAACTAATTTTTTATAATTGTTTTCAGAAAAAAGTTTACAGTCTTAAGGAAAATATTCAGGTCTATCATATGGTTTGACAGATTTTTTAAAGTTATTTTTGGTAAGGTCTTCTTTTAGAAAAAAATTAATCTCAAGGGTTTTTTGTACCACTATAATCTGTAATACTTATTCAGAATTACTGTGTATTTACTTAATTTCTTATTATGTGCCTTATTATGTGCTTATGATATGATAGGTTAGAGTTTTATCTAAGTATCTTGGAAAGATATATTGTGGGCTTGGTGAGCATTTGTTTTTTCTTTCCCTGTTTTGGTAAGCATTTTAAAGTTTTTTTCATTGCAATTTTAAGTGGTTTTCAATAAGTAATAGTTTTTATTCAAATTTATGGTGCTTTGGTGCAGAGATTGGGTGGGGAAGGGTAAATGGTTTGGGGAATAACTCAGTGCACACCTGTAGGCCTCTTTATATTGTGACCAACAGCGGTCATTGCCAGGTATAGCAACCAATTTGGGGCTATGAAATGCAATCTTAGTTTCTGGATCTTGTGTCATCTTTATCATCCATTAGAATTTGTCTCAGGATTACTTGTTTTTTCTCAGTACTCAAGTGAGAGCTTGCTTTTCTGTTAATATAACTTCATTACTGAGTGCCCACATACATACATGGAGTATGAGAAGATGGGCTTCTTCTCAGACTCTGTCACTCTCTTTTTGGTTGAATGTAAGAGTACTTGTTAATGTTGCTTTGGTGATTGTATAATGTAAAATTGTTTCTTTTTGATGAAAAACTGTGCTTTTGTTAATTATTCCCTTAATGCTTGATCACATTTTTTTAAAAGAAGAATTTGTCAAAAGGAACATTTTTGTCCACTCCTTTAACACTTTTCAGATTCTCAGAGTGGCTCATCTCACATTTTAAAAAGATATCTCACTCTCTTTGCTACGTATATTCCAGCCATTAATTTGAACACAGAAAGGTTTCTACAAAAGAAATTTTACTAGAAATCAGAGACTACAAAAGATATTTTAGGCTGTTGGAAAGCAGAATTCACTCAATACTGCCCACCAGTTAGTGGTGGAATAAATAGGAAGGAGGACACGAAAATGAGACCTGCCAAGCACATCAAGTTAGCGTTGGCTAAATCGATAGGTGTCATCTTTTATCAAGTTGTTTTTTCACTTAGGAAATGTGTTTTTAGCCAAACACTGAGTAAGGAGGAGGAAAATGTTTTTCTTTGAGAACTTTCCAAAATTGGCTTCTTTTTTCTTTCTTACAAGCACTATTATAATTTTCAGTGGCATGTTAAATTGGATTATTTCATTTGCTTTGAGTAAAGAATTACTGTGTAATTATAAGACATGATTCTCACAACATTCAGTGTAAGTGTAGCAAAAGTGTAGCAGGAAGGAGGTCATAATGGTGTTGAATGTAATTTAAAGTAGAGCATGGCCTTTAAATCTGAGAAAGAACATTTGAATCCTTTTCAGGGATTTGTGTATGTGTGTGTATAGATAAGTGTGTATATATATACATACACTCTTCTAATGTTGTACATACATATGCACATTACATACATTTTAATTTATTGACAAAATCAAATTAAGATTTGGAAAAGTGAGATATTCTTATTTAAAATAGTGTGCTTAACACCATCAATTTGTGTCTGAAATTAGCTGTAGCATATGGATGTTGTCCATACTGCGCTATTTGCTGTCTGAATTCTAGAGGTCTACAGTATTTGTGTTGGCATAGTTTCTGTAAAAAGATTTAAAAATACCAGCGTAGTTGAAAAACTAGATCTTTGTATTTTTGTTTTACATTGCATTTATTAGGCATATCTTCTAAGCAGTGTTTTTGCTGTTGAGCTGTCATACTATTCTATTTTTAATTTTATTTACTTTATTTTAAGGAGTATTGTCTTATCACTTTTGGAGGTGTCTCGACATTTACACAAAGTATATATATTCAGGACTTTCAAAAAATAGCAGTACATGTTTAACAGTAGCAATTTATGCCAAAAAGTTTTACTTAGAGATTTAAATAACTTGCAGAGCAGTAAAATGTGTTTTGTGTGAGATACAGATAGAAAAATGACCCGATATCTTAATTGATAACTTACTGGAGAGTATCAGAATTACCCAATAGCACCTACAGAATGCCATGAATTCTTTTTAAGGCTAAATATTGTAATCATTTCTTTTGTAGTACTAATGTTTCTGACTTTGTTGTTGAAAATTGCAGGGCTCACAGTGTTTAGAGACATATGTCTGCCTGCCTAATTCCTATGGGAGTCGAGCAGTGCCTTCTTTGGCTCCACCTAGGATGGTGGTCACAGGTCCTGCCTCAGTTAATTAGAAGTAACTCATAAATGTCTCTGTTCAGTTTCATATTGACTTTCCAAAGCCTCCGTGTCATTAGGCTCAAAGTTCATATACACATTGAGTATGTCGTCATGTGATTTCTCTTCTGTTCCCACTGAATATTTTTGGACAAAAGACGACAAGCTCAAAAATATGTGTTCCCCTCAATGAGTCACTTAAAAACCCTAAGTTTGCCAAACTGTTAGCCTGTCTCCTAGAAAAACCTACTGTGTACTGCTATTTTTAAAACCAAAAGACAGCATGACTATGCGTGAAAGCATTTTTCTTAGCCTTTCCTTTGTCTTGATCTGTTGTTAACAAGAATAAAACTGCCAGACTTAAAATATTCTACTATTGTGCTAAAAGAAAAACAATTTAGATTGCACAAAACTTTTCTTTTAAAGAAAATATAACCCAGCTGTCTTTTAAAAGAGCTGTGTTGTTATTTACAAGACTATTTGCAGTCTTTTTTTCAGCGCAGATTCTAACAGCTGGTTGTTAATGGTTTAAAAAATAGAAAATTACTAAAATATTAGTTTTGGGGGTTTTATAGAGGGAGGAAAACAACACGGGACCAAAGCTTATGTGCCTTCATTAGTCTTAATTGACCTTTTCCCATTTGAGACTGAGGTAGAATCAGTATTCTGGTTTTCAGGAAATATGAACTATATAGTTTTAAAAGAATGTTATCCCACAGACTATTCATACAAGCAAAGCATTGTAACTGTGCAGATGAAATCTCAGTTACACCTTTGCCTTGATCACATGATATTCCTTACATAGCATCGTGCAGGTCCGAGAACAGCCACTCTGGACCGCTCTGGTAGTCATCTTAGTTTTTGTAACCTGAGGCATATGTTCCAGAGAACAGGGATCTTTGTCTGGTCCAGTGACCTTGGTGATCATAGTCATGATTGAAAGCTGCTTATGGCAAGCTTAATTCAGCACTGTAAACAGATTTTTGTTCTTGTGTTATTTTCAATTCTTGAATCTATGTAGTAGTTGTAATAACAAATATTTAAATAGCTATTTTTGATGTCATACTCTGGCCTTTCCCGCCCTTACCATTGTTAACCCAGATATTTTAAAAATGCATCTCACATCCAGAAAGTACTAATTATAAAGATTGCTGACCAAGCAAAGTTTTGCATCAAAATGTCACCTCATTGCTCTGACCAAAGACTGACTCCTGGTTTTCACTCCTCTATTAAGCATTTTTTCCCAAGCTCCTTTCTGAAAGAAGACCCAATGTAAAGCGGCCTTTACTTTCTATTTCCTATTGGTGAATAGACTACTTAGAGAAAATGGGAGTTTAAATGTGAACAGAATGGATTAGGATGACAAGGGTTTGATGGGCATTTTCAGTACTGTATTTAAGAAAAAAAAAGAGCACAGCTAGGGGCCTCTGACATTGTCTCATGCTTTACATGATCTGTTCATTAAATTCCCTTTTTCAGTTTATGAGAATGTTCATCTAACAGAAGAAAATGCTGTAAATATTTGTAACATTTTTTTTTAACCAGGCCAAAAAAGAAAAAAAAAAGGTTTTGGGGAACAAGTTAACATATAAAGTGGTTTTATATAAAACATCAATTGTCTTGTATATTTTGATAAGCAGCAGTACCAGCTTTCATTTGTAACACAGTTTGTGGCATTGGGGAAAAAAAGGATTCTGTGATTGTTGAAGTGAATTATGTTATAAATGCAAAGAGAAGATAAAATATTAAAAAACCTTTTCTAAATGCGTAGTGCATGGTTAATTTAAGCTTCTGTACACTACAGTATATTCCATTTTCGTTCAGTTTGTATATTTGCTGACTATTACTTGATATCGCTAATCTCTTTTCCTAACAAATACAGCATTGTAGCATGCCTTTTAATAAATGTCATGACATCTGTACTCTCTTAAAATTTTTCTGTGTTCTTGTCTGTACTTTGGGTTTCCCCTTGTCTTTCCTGTAATTCTAATGATGTCATATTTTCTTTTATTTTTTCATAGCCATCCATCTAAACTTGTCATAGTTATAAGAATAACAAGCACATATTTATACAACTTTAAAAGCTGAAAAAACCCTAAGTCTACTAACCACCTCTTTTTAAATTAAGAAAAAATTCTCATTTTTGAGGAGCAAACTGCTTTTCTTACAGTCCTTATAATGTAACTTTTCTGTGGTACTACTCCTGTAGTACAAGTACACGTTGGCACTTGTGTGAGTTCTTCTCTCTCTAACTTTCTGTCTCTCTCTGTCACATACACATGCACACACACACACACGATATATGTGCAATGCCAAACAGAAGTTGGAACACTTCTTCTAGTTTATTTCAGTTTTTGGCTTCCCTATGGAATTAGTATCCATAAATATTGAGACATGAGACGTGATCTCATACCAAGTCTGTGTCCTTTTTATTTTTTTATTTATTTTTTTTTTTAATTTTTTTTTTTTTTAGCTGAGCCATCCCGCCACCTGTTGGCAGCTCACGGCTGCTCAGCTCGGGCTGACTCGAACCGCTGTTGCTCAGAGCTCAAACTCTTGAGTGAGCTCTTAACCAACTGAGCCACTCAGCCGGCCCTGTGTCCTTTTTAATTAAAGCATAATACAGTTACCAGCTGCCTATATATTGCTTTTCCTTAGACAATATTTTATTTCTGGGTTCTTGAAAGAGTTACTGCATTGTAGGAGCCTAACCATTTATTTTAATCTTTTACTCTGGGATCTTTTGGAAGACAGGATTTATTTTTAATGGAATAGAAAATGAGGTAAACAGGACTGGCCGAGTGGCACATTGGCTAAGAGCTGGCTTGGGACGCCAGCTCTGAGCAGTAGAGCCCTGGTTCAGATCCCACATGTAGGCCAGTGACACTGCCCTCTACAGCTAAGATGATGAACAACAGCTCAACCTGGAGCTGGGCTGCCGTGAGTCGCTGGTGACAGCGTAGGCTGCAGCCCCTGCTGCAGTGGGCTGCCATAAGCTACCGTGTGTGGCTGGCATCCAGCATGAGCAGCCGGCAGCCAGCGTGAGCTGCCAAGAGCCGCCATGAGCGGCCGTCCAGAGGCCGGCGACCGATCTGCCTCACCCAGGAAGAGTGCAATGATAATACCAACATGGACCAGTGAAGCGATGTCCTCCACAACTAAACTGAAAAACAAAAGGACAGCAACTTGTCTGTTCCCCTTCCCCGATTCCCCAGCACTGTTCTCCCCCAATTTCCCAATAAAATCTTAAAAAAAAAAAAGAAAGAAAGAAAGAAAATGAGGTAAACACTACTGATCTTTGCTGGCTCATTTGTAAAACCTCTTCTCTCCATAAATGCAACTATTGTAGATGAATTTTTTTTTAAACAGGCATTTTTGTCAGGAAAAAAGAAAATAACCCTATGACCAGATGAGGTTTTTATGAACTTAACCATGAAATGCTTATTTACACAGCAAAGGGCTCACCCATCATTAAGAGTTGCAGTTTTGAGCATAAATGAGACCACCTACTTCAATTTCCACTTTTTAAAGATAAGTGACAGAGAAGGAGTGAGTTGCCCAAGGCCACATGCCAGGTTCAGTCAGAGGACTAGAACCCAGGTCTCACTGGCCCTCATGTGGGATTCGAACCAGGGCCCTGCTGCTCAGAGCTGGTGTCCCAAGCTAACTCCTAATCAACGTGCCACTCGGCCAGCCCATGCTGTACCCAAGTTTGAATGCTCAACATTGATCAGTAATTGACCTGGGCTGCTGGGTTAGGGATAGTTAGAAGCATTAAATCCACTTGGTTTACAATTTGTTTGGTTCTTCCCTACATCACCAGTTTTTTCTGTTGTCCTCTTTCAACTTCTAATGGAAATTTGTCACTGTGTTTCTACCAAAGCAAGTTATGCTGAACTGATAAAACTCACAGTTTTGTTGGAATTATTGCATTCATATACTAATGGGTTTGGGTGTAGAACTCCCACTTTTGCTAATATGATTAACCAGGAAAAGTTAAAGATACGTTTCATGAAGATTTATAGATTTCCTTTATTCCTATGTTCTAAGGATACAGACAGGGAAACGGGAAAAATTCAATGGTCTGTTGGAATAAATTGCCCCTAGATTAAGTAAGATATGCCTAAAGTTACGGAATTATCTGCTGAATCTTTGGTCCTGCAGAATACAAATGTCAAATTCTGACCTGTCAAGAGATTGTCTTTAACCAAAGAAAGCTGGTATTAGTTATATTACGGTTAGACAAAGTTCACTTTGGGGCAATAGGCACTATTAGATATCAATATATCATATTGAAATATAATGGAATACTTTACAGTTACACAAATGAATACAATAAAAGCTACATGGAAGAAACGTGATGTTGAACAAAGGAAGCCATGCACAAAAGAATACTTAATGTATAATTCTATTTACATCAGGTAAAAATGGGATAGGCTTACCTTTGGGAAGGAAGTAATTGAGGGAATGAGAGGTTTCTAATGTGTAGTTAATGTTTTATTTCTTAAACTTTGTACCAGTTACCCAGGAGTGTTTACTTTCTGATAATTCAATGAGCTTGTACACAGGATTTGTTCATTTCTGTGTGTTATTCCTCATTTAAAAGGATTTTGAAAACTGGTTGTAGTTGAGTGAGGTGCTATAATCCATTCTCCTTGCTTCTTAAATCAGCTGATTATTCTACCCAGTAAATAAGTCCTTGTTACAAGTATTCAAGATACTATGGACTGAGTTTCACTATGAAACTCTCCCACAAATGTATTATTTGAAATATATTTCTCTGACCATGGTATACCTATAAGAAAAATGTTTCCCTGACAAAACAAAAAATATAAACTATTTTTAAGTAAATTCTACATTTTTTAAGTTTTGTATCCAACTAAATTCAAAAAAGATTCTATTAGTACAGTTGACCCTTGAACAACACAGATTTGAACTGCACAGGTTTACTCGTGAATTTGTGGATTCAACCTGCGGATTGGAAATTTCAATGTGGTTGGGAATCTCTGGATGCAGAGGGCTGACTATGTTTTTCTACACCATCTGTGCAGTTTTATATGAGGCACTTAAGCATCCCGGATTTTGGTATCCATGAGAGGTCCTGGAACCAATCCCCATGGACACCAAGGGATGACTAGTTAAGTTTTGGGAGAATCAAAAGCTGTACTGTGCTTTTTTTACTGCACGGGAGTTGATGCCCCTAATTCCTCCCTGCGTTGTTGAACCATCAACTGTGCATACTAGTTTTGTTTTTTCAGCTGTAAGCCTGACCTGGTGGCTATTTGATGTCTGCCTCCTTACATATTTTCATCAAGAAAAGCCAGAAAGACCTACCTCACTCTGTAGTGTTTTAAAAGGAGACAGTAGGGCCGGCCGAGTGGCGTGATGGTTAAGAACTGGCTTGGGATGCCAGAGGACCCCGGTTCGGATCCCACATATGAGGGCCAGTGACACTGCCCTCCACAGCTAAGATGCTGAACAACAGTTCAACCTGGAGCTGGGCTGCCATGAGTCGCCGGCGACGGCGTAGGCTGCAGCCCCTGTGGCAGTGGATTGCCATGGGCTACTGTGTGTGGCCAGCAGCCAGCGTGAGCGGCCAGCAGCCGCAGTGAGCGGCCGTCCAGAAGCCGGCGACTGATCTGCCTCGCCCGGGAAGAGCGCAATGATGGTGCCAACTTGGGCCAGTGAAGCAATGTCCTCCCCACAACTAGACTGAAGAACAAAACGACAGCAACTTGTCTGTTCCCCTTCCCCCAATTCCCCAGTGCTGTTCCCATCCCCCCAATTCCCCAATAAAAATCTTTAAAAAAAAATAAAAATTAAAAAAAAAAAGGAGACAGTATACAAAGGTTTAGCAAAACGTCTTGTCATTAGGATTCTTAAATATATACTAACTTAGAATAGTGTGATGAAACCCCCAAGTACCCAATACCCAACTGCCACTAGTGGCCAATCTTGTTTCTTCATCCCACTCCCTGAATTGTTTTGAAACAAATCCCGCTTATAATTTCATCTACAAACATTTCAGTATGTTTAAGTCCATACAATGCAATTGTTGATAAAGTCTTTTCATATATAGCTTTCCTTTCCATCCCTTTTTCGCCTTGCAACTTATTTGTTGAAGAAGCTAAGCTATTTGCTCTGTAAAAAGTCCAACAGTCTGGATTTCACTGGTATGCCCCATGAAGTCATTTCTTTAATATGTCTCCCCACCTCAAATTTTCTGTAAATTGAGTGCAACTTCCTCCCCTCCTTCCTGCTTCCCTGCTGTTTTTTGTTTGTTTGTTTTGACAAGAATACTTTATAGATGGCATTGAGCACTTACATAGTATGTCTTGTGATGGTAGTAGCTATTGACGATCATTGCTTAGATCCATTAATTTTTAGAGATTGCAAAATGGCAAAGTGCTATTCTTTTTGCATGTATTATTTGGATTACTTTTATGTAATAGAAGCTTCACCATATCGATTACTCTGAGGTATAATCTCTCTAGGAAAGACAAGACAAATGCTTCATTCTTTCCCTTTATTTCTCTGTTTTCAAAATAATTACAGTAAAACCTTGGATTGCGAGTAACTCGGTTTGCAAGTGTTCCCCAAGATGAGCAAACATTTCTAATATGTACATTTTACCGTGGTAAACAAGCAATGTCTTGCAATACAAGTAGTTTGTTTATGGAACAAATTATGCTCGCAAACCAAGGTATTACTGTATTTTGTTTTCTGTCATCCTCCAAAATTTTGTTTACCGTAGTTTTATTTTAAG